TCCTAGCCATTGGATGATGAAAGGACTATCGAACATAAAAAATAAAATAAAATAAAATAAAAAATAAAATAAAAAAACCCATGGGCAATGAAACACACATCGTTACGCAAAGTCACTTTGTGCGACGAAACTTTAAACTTCGTCCCGCAAAGTCTTTACAAAAATAAAAAAAAATTATTTTTTTAAATCTTTGTGCGACGAAACCAAATGTTTCGTCACCTAAACCCAATTTATTTTCATTTTTATTTATTTTTATATTATAAATTTTAAAATATAGTTATTTTCATAAGGTTTTATTATTTTGTAAAAACTTTTGCACAATGAATATCAATATTTCATCGCCTAAACCTTATTTACTTATTTTTTATTTATTATATTTTATATTGTTAACCTATTTTTTTTTATTTTCTTTGCGCGATGAATACACATTTGATCACCTAAACCTTATTTATTTTAATTTATTTATATTTTAAATTGTAAAATAAAATTATTTTCTTTTTATTATTTTTTAAAAACTTTGCGTGACGAATACTAATATTTCATCACATAAACCCTATTTATTTAATTTTATATTTTAAATTGTCTAATAAAATTTATTTCTATAAATTTTGTGCAACGAACCAATATTTTGTCGTGCAAAATCGTTAAATTTGGGCGGTGCCGAAAATGGGATGCAGGAAATTTAATTTTGAATTTTTTTTAAAAAGCTTTGCACGACCAATGTTTCGTCGTGCAAAACCCTAAAAATTTGGGTGGGGGGCAAAAATGGGGTGCGAGAATTTTTTTTTAAGACTTTGCACAACCATTTTTTCATTACATAAAATCATATCATTCGTCGCGCAAAGTGCTATGGTTTTTAAAATCAAAATAACTCCTCCACAGTTTTCTCAACATATCTCTCTAGTTTTCTTACCTCTCCTCTCTTTCCCTCTCCCCAAATCCGACCCCCTCACTCACACTCAATATTTTCTCTCTCTCTCTCTCTCTCTCTCTCTCTCTCACTCACTCTCTCACTATCTCTTCTCACTCTCTACTCTCTCTCTCCCTATCTCTCACTCACTCTCAATCTTGCCAAAAGGTATTCTCTCTAAATTTTAACTTCTTTTACATTAATATATGATTTTGGAGTTAATTTTGGGTTTGGGTAGGGTTTGGGGTCGAGTATAGGGTGAGGGGTGGAGTTTGGGGTCGGATTTGGGGTATGCCGATTTTAGGGGAGGTTATGCCCATTTTTTTGTATTATTTTATGTTGTTACTTTTTTATTATTTGACCCTTTTTTTTTTTTTTTGTAGGGAATCTGTCGGGACTTTGATGGTGAAAGTTGAGGATTATGATGCTATCGGACCATTTCCCTTGCCACCACCACCACAATGGACTTGTATTAGGATTTTATTATTGTAATTTGTTAATTTATACGTATATTATGGATAATTTGATCACATTTTTCATATGTAATTTTATTTTGAATATGTCAATTTAAATTAAAGTAATTAAAAAAAAAGCCATACAATTAAATTAAATTAAAAAGTAAAAATTCAAAAAATTTTGCGCTACCAAATATTTCGTCACAATTACTATAATTAAATTAAATAATAGAAATAATAAAAAAAAGTCAATTTAATTAAATAAAAAAATAAAAACTAAAAACTTTCGTCGCGCAAATTGCACTACCAAATATTTCGTCGCATAAAATATTAAATTAGTTTAATTAAATCAAAAATCAAAAATCAAAAACTTTGCGCAACGAAATATTTCGTCACGCAAAGTACCTTCGCGTTTCGTTGCGCAAACCCTATCTTCACGAGCTTTGCGTGACGAACCATGCGCGACCAAAATTTCATCGCGCAAGGTTTTCAGCGACGAAATCTTACTTTGCGCAACAGATCTTATTTCATCATGCAAAGTGTTTTTTGTAGTAGTGTCAACAAAGGCCCATTTGTGTCGTATTCATTAGTAAGTCTCGGACAATGCATGTAGTGACTTAGAATAGGTATAAAGGTGATCGTCTATGAGATCGAGTTCATTGAATATTAACCAACCATAAAAGTGTACGAATGGAAGATTTCCTACTTGTCAATCATTCCACACTTTTGAGTTATGGACGCAACTAGTACTTAGACATGAGGCTTCATTGGTTATCTTGTGTTAATGTATCTAATCTCGGTCTCGCCTCGAAGCTCTGAAACAATAGTGGAGCCCTTTAGTGTGAGGTTCGAGATCATATGTATCAACATAGAGATACGTGAATGCACAAAAAGTAATCTGTCACCTTCTAGGTAATCATGAAGGTTGATATTCCAGTAGCCCATTGACGATCTATCTCTAGAAGCAATCTTTGGCCAAAGCAATGTATATGAGATACATCATCGCAATCATATTCATGCTTAGCATTTGACAAATGTCACATTTTCTAAAATATATGATCGGAATATAGTAGACAGATGAACCAAATTGCATTGTAACCGTAACTAAGGTTCTAAATATGTGTTATATGAATTCAAACATATTCTAACTAATCTAGGTAGCTGAAACTCATTGCTAAATGTTACTATTCGATTTGTGGATATTCCTATAAGGTTGAATTAGAATGGTTTCTAACTATGTAAAATTGGTGAAGTTTTAATTTAATATGAATTATTTATAGAAATTTTTTTTCATTTTATATTTGATTAATTGGTTTGGGCCTTATATTTATTATAAGTTACTTGAACTAAAATAAATAAGGAAGCCTAGTCCGAAAGAAAAGACCGAATTAACAAAATAAATAAAATAATAGCGAATCGGGCTAAAACCCAATAATAGAAGGGGTGTGCGGCAAGCCCAAATGATGTGTCTCCTAAGACGTATGGCACACATATATATGATAGTAGATTAAATTGTAATCTTACTGGCTTATGGAATCGTTGAATATATATATGCCTAAAATGTAGTAAGTTTAAACAAAATAAAGACAAGAAAAAAAAAAAAATAGGGCATCATATTTAAAAGGCTTGTTATATTAACACTTCACATATTGTTGAATGCACCCTATATACTTGATACACCCCACATTTGCTTTTTCAATTAAATTTTTTCTTAATATATCCCCACATACTTTTCCATAATACCCTCACACCCCACAATCTCAACATACACCTTACATTTCTATATATACACCCCACATTTTCTCCATACACATCCCTGTACTCTTCACAATGACTTTTTTTTTTCTCTGTGCTATGTACTGTTGATACAAAATCATTCATGTCATACCAGGATTTTCTTACTGCTAGAGAGGTTCAAATAGAGGAAAGTAGAAGCTGCATGTTTGGGGAACCTTACAAAAGTGAAACGGCAGAAGTTTCTATGCGAAAGAAGGCAATGACTGTAATCTGAGACCAATGAAGTTTAAACTTCACCATTTATGACGGTGCATTTTGAATAAGGTGAAACTTCCAAAACGTCGATTTCATGTTCTACTCATCAAAATTAATTTTTCTCAATCAATGGGTTTGTAGTTTCATTGGTTAGGCTTTTTGTTCTACAATGGAGAGTGAGAGTGGTTTATAGAGTTGAAGAAGATAAATAATCTTGTGATATACATGTTAAAAGTCATTTGGGGTGCATTTAGTATTTTTTTAATTTTTTTAAAAAACCTTATATGACACACCTCGACCGAGATCAGGGCATGCTGGCCGTCACGTGGAAGTGACGTAACCATGTGCACAGTGCGAAAGCTAATAAATAATAATAAAAGTACGAATAAATAAAAACCAGCTATACACAAAGTAATAACATACATGTGAAAGCGTAAGTGTAAGAAACAAAGTTCAGAGCACGGAAGACCTAATGCAGTCCGGGCGAAACAACACTAAATAAACACACCCAAAGGTGGTCCTACACTGGTGATAATCTGTCAAATAAGCCGGGAAAATCCTCTAGGGAGCCACCAAAAGCGCTAGCCGAACTAGAACCTGGAGGGACGCAAAACAGAAAGCGTGAGTGGGCAAAAACAAAGCTTTTCAAAAACCATTTTATAAACAAAGTTCTAACCCCTCGCCGTAAAACCTGTATACTTCTCAGAAAAATAGAATATAAACATATATATAATAACCATGCTCGGAAATATGTCATGCCAAATGCCTCGAAATAAAATGCAAGTACTCAGGTAATGCCAAACAATGCCATGTAATCTGTCAGCCGGAGTCACCTAACGTGACTTGTACGGCTGAATCTAGAGCTCAAATCTCCAACTCACTAACTATACCTGCACACGAGTCGGAACCACCTAAAGTGGTTTGTACGACAGGACTGGATGTATAATAAGTACGCTTAAGTGCTACGATCACGTGAAGATTGGGCGAGTACTTTAGGTGGTTCCGACTCATGTGCAGGTATAGTTAGTGAGTTGGAGATTTGAGCTCTAGATTTAGCCATACAGGTCACGTTAGGTGACTCCGGCTGACAGATTACATGGCATTGTTTGGCATTACCTGAGTACTTGTATTTTATTTCGAGGCATTTGGCATGGCATATTTCTGAGCATGGTTATTATATATATGTTTATATTCTATTTTTCTGGGAAGTATACAGGTTTTACGGCGAGGGGTTAGAACTTTGTTTATAAAATGGTTTTTGAAAAGCTTTGTTTTTGCCCACTCACGCTTTCTGTTTTGCGTCCCTCCAGGTTCTAGTTCGGCTAGCGCTTTTGGTGGCTCCCTAGAGGATTTTCCCGGCTTATCTGACAGATTATCACCAGTGTAGGACCACCTTTGGGTGTGTTTATTTAGTGTTGTTTCGCCCGGACTGCATTAGGTCTTCCGTGCTCTGAACTTTGTTTCTCACACTTACGCTTGCACATGTATGTTATTACTTTGTGTATAGCTGGTTTTTATTTATTCGTACTTTTATTATTATTTATTAGCTTCCGCACTGTGCACATGGTTATGTCACTTCCACGTGACGGCCAGTATGCCCTGATCTCTGTCGGAGTGTGTCATTATAAGGTCAAAACTGTCAATGCACAATATATAAGTCATTTAATATTAAATTTTAAAATGGAGTGTATTCAACATTATATGTGGTGCTAATAAAAAAAAGCCTATTTGGAAAACAAGTACAGCAATAATATTGTGTTTCTGCAGAAAATACACTAAACTCACAAAGAGTGAAAAAAAAAATGAAAAAATAATAAATCAAGAATTAATGTTGATCTCGCAAGTCTGATCACTTGCACTGCAAACTTTTGAGAGTCTTTGATGACAAATCAAATGCAATGGTACAATCCATGGTGGAAGATTTTTTCTTCTTCATTACCAACATAAGTTCAACCTTTCCTGTCAACTTAGCCGTGCTGTTGAGAGTCAACACCCCACTGTTCAATTCACTACCAAGATTGGAACTGCTCAATGCACTTGAACTCAAGCTCACCTCGACGTCAATTTTTTTGGTGGAAAGCATTCCAGCCTTGCTCTTTGGAATAGAAACTTGCCCGACAGTCGCACCTTGGAACAAAAACGTGACAATGGCTGCATCAAACCTATATGGACCAAAATTTGTGTTCTTGACTTTGATTTGGGTTGAGAATTTCGTGTCGAATGAAGGTGTTGTTGAGGCAGAGTTGAGCTCTTGGACGTTGATGTTGCCTAGTCTGACTTTCGGGGTCTTAACTTTCATGACAGTGAGACTCATCGCCGTTATGACCATGATCTGAAACACAATGAAAATACCAATGTAAATGGCTAACTTGATTCTCTTCTTACGTTTCAGCTCATCAGCGGATTCCAAAGACTCTGCATCACTTTTTGTGTAACCATTTGCTGGTGCTAAAGGATAAACCTGTTGGTTCTTTTCGGCCATGTTCTTGTGATTGTTTGAGGTGTATGTTTTCAGGGATGAAACTTGGAAGTGAAGGGAGTTTGTGGAAATGACGGAAGAGTCATGCACTATATATAGCGTTTGGAGTTTGGACTATTTTCAATAAGTTGTGTAGGGGGGAATGAGCTTCCTGTAAAGTGAGTTTCAAGGGAAGAATTTGATTGCAGACGCGCCAAACGCGTCCAAAGCCAAAGGTGAACTTATTGTCTTCTAGATGATCGACGACTTTGGCGAAGCATCTAATATACACTTTAGATCATCTTATATTGTTACTTTTTCTTTCAGCTGTCTTGACATCGACATTCAAAATATCAATGGAAGCATCTATTAGTACACTTTAATATTTATAAACTTGGACAAGAAGGCTATTAATTTCTAGGGTGATTTTCACTCTCAATTTCTCTTTTTGCCCTTTTTAATTATTTGTTTATTTTTCTTTAATTTATTCAATCGTAAGACTAAAAAAAATGTAGAAATACAGTAGCAGGAAAAAAAAAAAATAGATGAGTGCAGAGGAGAAAATTGAGGGCGAAAAACATTTTCCTTTTTTCTATTTCTTATGGAAAAAGTAGAATGGGTTCTCAGATTATAATATTAGACTGAAAGATATTTTCAAACTAATCCAGAAAAAACAAGGCTTAAGAAACTTAAATTAACATTCAAGCTAATATTTTGTTTCACATGTGATTGATATGATTATTATAATAGAAAGCACATGACTCATAATACTGATGTACAGGGAACATTTTAATATAAACTTTGCCTAGAACACAAACATTTGGATCTCTACAAGTCTTACAGAGAAAGGCACCTCATGTGTTATTTTGTATTTTATATCCATTTCTTTGTATGCTATGTGACACAAAAGACTTCTTCCTACATACAGCCGTCTAGATTGATCCAGAACGTCAAAAAGCCTACCCTATACGCGCGTTTTGGATACACTATTTGAGCATTTCCTAGAAGCTTGTACCACACAACATTAACCCTCTATATATAACACACTGCTCTTCCATCATTTCCACAAACTCCCTCCACTTCCAAGCTTTCATCCCACAAAAGAAACTAGCAAAAGTAGCGGATAACTAACATTGTCTCCACTTTCATATCAGAAAAGAATAAGAAATTAACATGGCTTGGAAAAGAAATGATGAGGAATCTTTGCAATCCGCTGATGAGGTGAAACGCCAGAAAAGAATCAAGTTGGCCATTTATATTGGTATTTTTATTGTGTTTCAGATCATTGTCATAACCACGATGAGTCTCACTGTCATGAAAGTTAAAACCCCGAAGGTCAGACTAGGCAACATCAATGTCCAAGACCTCAACTCCATCCCGGCAACATCTTCATTCGACACTAAATTCACAACCCAAATCAGAGTCAAGAACACAAATTTTGGTCCATACAAGTATGATGCTGGCATTGTCACGTTTTTGTACCAAGGCGCTACTGTCGGGCAAGTTTCTATTCCAAAGAGCAAGGCTGGAATGCTTTCCACCAAAAAGGTTGACGTCGAGGTGAGCTTGAGTTCAAGTGCACTGAGCAGTTCCAATCTTGGCAGTGAATTGAGCAGCGAGGTGTTGATTCTCAACAGTGCGGCTACGTTGACTGGAAAGGTTGAACTTATGTTTATAATGAAGAAGAAGAAGTCTTCCACCATGGACTGCACCATTGCATTTGATTTGTCATCAAAGACGGTCAAAAGTTTGCAATGCAAGTGATCAGACAAACCAAGTAGGGTGGAGTTGAACTGCGTTCTTTCTGTAACATCTTTAGGATTCAAATTGCGAGTGAACAAGACTAGTTCTTGATTTATTATTATTTATGCGACGTTGAATTTGTATTTGATATAAAAAAAATTTAATTATTTTTTAACCATTTATGCCAGTTTTTCCTTTCTTCCTATCTCCAATAGATGATTGATATGTATTTAAACTAACCTAAATAATAGATTAATTTAAACCAAATTAAACTCGCAAGTGCACGAATCAATTGTAGAAATATATGCAAATATGAGGTCGATCCCACAAGGATTGCTTCTAATACCAATTCAACCAGTTGATTATGTGAAACTTAACTTAACTAGGAAACGACTGATTTACTAATTGATTATGAAAAGTAATTAAAACTTCAACTTAAAATTAAACCAAGAATATGAATAACCAAAAACACACAACGAATGTAGTTTAAAAGAAATTAATGTGATGGAAGCCTAAGGTCATGAATCCACCAATAACAATCATATTCCCTTTTCTTCAAGCCGATTACTATCCAATTATCATGCCAATATTTAAGGTTGTTCTTTCTAAGATATGAATTAATCCTTGGTCAGGCATCAACTCGTTTGTCTATACATGATAACTATATCCTATTGGTTAGGCATACAGTTAAACACATAAAAACCCATTAAGCACTAAAGAATAATGTCAACCAAGTAGGACTAGCTTGATATTGGTTATCCTCACTAGTTTGTCCACTCTTCTTAATCTTAGTTCCAATAAACCTAATTGATATTGGTTATCCTCTCAGATTTATCTAAATATCTAGAAACAAGTTCACAATGATGGCCAGTCATAAGAACATTCGAAACTAGAATAGATTAAGCACAAAGATTAAGAACTAAACATGGCATGTAATCGAACAATAATCAACAAAATACTTCGGGAATAATCATGTCATGGCTTCATCATAAACCTTAGAAAAGTATTTTAGTTACACATAATCATAATAGAAATCACAAAAGAAGTCATGGAAGATAAAACCCGGAAAAGAATGGTAAAAGCACACTAAACTGCCCTCCTTCACTTTGGATGAATTTTCTTGTGTATTGTTCCTCCTTTTAGACAGCCTATGGCCCTCTATTTATTCTATAAAATTCTAAAAAGTCTAATAAAAACTATCCTAAAAGAAAGCAAACTCCTAAATAATTAACGACACAAACAAGGAAAGAGTCCTTCTTGACTTGGGAAACACGGCATCTGATTTACATGCCAGATTTGGAGTCGATTTCCCTTCTGGAAAATTCTGTAAAAATATGAGCAACGTAGCTTTTATCTCTTATCTTTCCAGGTATATAACACACGTCACTAGGAAAAATCGGGAAAGCCTTCAAATCTTCATTCTCCTACAGCTGCGCAATTCTGACGAGAAAACAACTTCTGCGGGATTCATTTGTGAAACTGGAATGAATGGCTCTATGGAAAATTATGAAATTCGGACATAATGATCTTCAGCCTCTTAGCTTCCTTCTCCAATTAGCCTTGCATCAAAACTCCTCCGGAAAGTCGAATTATCACCAAAAACGTCCTAGGTGCGCAGATTGGCTGAAACAGAGAAAAGGAAAGTAATAATGCTCTTTTATAATCAATTCCTTAACAAAACTTAGGGATAATTAATATGAAAATATGATAAATAATGCACGTATCAAATACCCCCAAACTAAGCTTTTGCTAGTCCTCGAGTAAAACAAAAAATAAAAGACAACAAGAAAACAATAGAACTTCCATAAATTAGCCTCAAAGCAATCAATAGACGGTCACCAAACTTAAGAGAATTAAATATTTTTCAAAATAGAACTAACCAAACCTTACACGACATTCTCAAGTGTAATGAGTGAAATAACCAATATCAATACAACTTACTCAACCCGGATAGGTATATGCAAACCAAAGCTTCCACTTCAAATCCTCTTCCATGAATATCACTCAGAAAGAAAATCACACATTAAAGGGCAAATTGTTTCACTCAAATTATGATAAGCAAAATAAAACCCCATAAGCTTGCTCTTCATATCAACTCTCCACTAATGTAAATCAATGCAACACCAAAGATCAAAGATCTTTACAAGAGTTGTAACAATGGGCTAGGGTATGAGCTATCAAAGAAAGGATATGGAAAAAACTAAAGCTTAAGAAATGCCAAGATATCTTCATAATGTAATTCAATTGATCCTCTTTTCAAACTTGGATCTTCTATTATTGGCGTCTAGGACTCATGTCATAAGAATGGAACAATTTCAAACTCTTCTTTTCTAATTCTTTTATTTTTATTTATCTTTTCTTCTCTTTTGTTTTCACAGAAGAATAAAATAAAAATAATACTATACATGATACCTCGGTACATGCCCTTTTTTTATTGTAGAACCCAACCTTTATCTTCATTGACGTCCACTTGATATCTCATAAGCTATAGGGTATGGCTAATATAGGTTAAATAGGTAAGGATGAATATGTGTAATGAAAGAAAAGGCTAAGTATTTGGCTTCAAAAGGGTAACTAGGGATAATATAACATAAAAGTTTGGTTAGAAAAGCTCAAACGATCCAAACATGGCCTTAATCATCTCCCTAGTGTTGCATGACTTAGGATTTCGCCTCGAGAGATATTGAAGCAAGTTCTAGATAAAAATCCTATGGGCCTCTATTTATTCTATAAAATCCTAAAAAGTCTGATAAAAACTATCCTAAAAGAAAACAAACTCCTAAATAATTAATGACACAAATTAGGAAAGAGTCCTTCTTGACTTGGGAAACACGACATCTGATTTACATGCCAGATTTGGAGTCGATTTCCCTTCTGGAAAATTCTGTAAAAATATGAAAAATGTAGCTTTATCTCTTATCTTTTCTGGCATATATCACACATCACTAGGAAAAATCAGTAAAGCCTTCAAATCTTCATTCTCCTACAGCTGCGCAATTCTGATCGGAAAACAACTTCTGCGGGATTCATTTGTGAATCTGGAATGTATGGCTCCATGGAAAATTATGAAATTCGGACATAACGATCTTCAGCCTCTTAGCTTCCTTCTCCAATTAGTCTTGCATCAAAACACCTCCGGAAAGTCGAATTATCACCAAAAATGTCCTAAGTGGGCAGATTGGCTGAAACAGAGAAAAGGAAAGTAATAAGGCTCTTTTATAATCAATTCCTTAACAAAACTTAGAGATAATTAATATAAAAATATGATAAATAATGCACCTATATAAAAATATGATAAATAATGCACCTATCAATGATGCTGTTTCAAGTTTAAAACCTTTTAGATGTGTGCATTTTTACACGTGTTAAGCCGTTTTTCATTTGACTCTATCTTGGTTACTGTGTACTTTTTGAGCTAAAGGTTGCTCTTTAACTTGGTAATGTAAAATGTCACTTCTTCCCTTCGAATTAATGGTTCCCAATAGTGGCTGCCGCTAGAGTTGAACAGCATCATTCTATCCTCACATATGTTTCTTGTGAGCTTCCTATAACTGTCAGTGAGTGTTGTTAGAATTTATATTTATAATATTAATAATTATAATATTTAATTCAATATTTGAATGAAAAATGCTTTAACCGTTTGTATCAAACCATATTTGTCAGTAAGTGGGTGCATCTTATACAAAGTGGCGCCACATTAAGTATGGACCTTTGAAATGGTGCCATCTAAAATATGTATGTATGCATCTCTTCGTCAATCAATGTCTTTGGTTTTATTTAACCTCACGAAACCATGGCATTGAAGATATAGAAAATTAGAGTTAATTTTTACTCTTGAGAAATAAGGTTTCCCCACTTTGTTTCTCTCATGTTTCGTGTTTCAAATTTCGAGTCGTGTCTTGAAAATATGAATTTATAAAGTTTGCCAGAGTCTGAAGATTGAAGTGGTTTGACTTCAAATTATAAATTGTTGAATTCTAGAAGATAGACGCCTATCAAACTATAAGTACAAGAGTAGGGACGAAATTTTGTCTTTAGGACATTGCATTTATGCAAGCCTCAATCTTCAAGTTTGTCATTTTTTCTAATTTTCTCTCAAATTGTTTATATTAATCTCATACATAAATTGATGTTGTGAATTTCTTTATGATTATTATTAATGGAACTCTTGTGTTATTTTCATATTTAGAGACAAAAGTTTTTTCTTTATGCAATAATTAAAAAATATGACAATTCTCATAAGCAGTGGCCAGGTATTGGAAATAGAATATGTTGCATTTGACGTAAACCCTAGCCCTCTTCAAGAAGGAAGGATCACTGCATCTAATGATGAAACTGAGAAATGAATCTTTTTCCAATTTACATAGAAAGATTTAATTTGATCATTGGGCTAGATGATGGGTTGTTGGTTGTCTATATAGTATACAAAACAACAAATGAGCTGTGGGAATTGTTGATGATAATTAAAAGATAGTACTGCAAAACAATTGCATGTTTGGATCTATAATCTTATATGCGATACACATGATATAGACACGATATATATAATATTATTTGTGTGATTTTATTTTACAGATTTTCATGTAATCTGGGTTATTTAATGCCAAACAGTTATGTATGAATTAATTTGCAACGGTTGTAATACAAACCAATTGTTTGGTATAGATGCATTTGTATGGTTAGTGTTCGACAGTACACATATAAGTAATTGCTTTACATATCAATATGAAGCATATCATTTAACTTCGATGAATTCAGTGCAATAGTGCTTATGAGATACCATTCAAAAACTATGCTTGGTGTTGACTCTTTTAATACAAAAGAGGTGACAGTTAAGGCCAAGTAAAATGGCTTATTAAAAAAAATTTGGTTTATCTGCGTACCAGTTCATGAAATGATCAGTTCCCTTTGTTTTTTTCAAAAATGAATGAATGCATAGAATCTTATTATTTAAAATGGAAGATGGAATGGCTTCATGCATGATCCAGACAAATCATGTCTTGATAGGGAAGATGCAAACCATTGCATATGATTTGACGAAGCCATATCTGGGCTTGATATGATAGGGTGATGTTTTTACAACACAAGATTCCATGAAAAGGCATTTGGTGGTGGAATGGATGTATCTGTTGCCACGCAGTTTTGAACTTACGGTGGCAAGTTCATAAGTTTAAATTT